TTGCGATGGCGCTTAGCTCCTCCCTTTCCGAGTCCTTTTCCTCCTTTACCACGTCCAGACATGATTGATGCTTCGACTTTGCGAATTGACAATATTTAAAATGGTACGCCTTATATATATGTTCATGAGGTCACTTCGCCACAACCCTCGACAGAATCAGATCTGAATTGCGCGCAGACTCCGCCTATTCGACAAAATATCTATTCATTTCAATTCATAACTCAACTGAGAGGGATTCAATAGAATCAAGAATCATTGGTTGTAATCCAATTTACAGAGTTCTACAATCAGATGAAGAAAACCGAAGCACACATGGAAACAAATTAACTTCACTAACTTAAAAGTGTTGGAACAAAAACTATAGAAGACAGAAAGAATAGTATTGTGGCCCTAAAGAGGGCCGTTGGGTGGTTTGAAGATCAAGCGCTTAAGCACGTTCTCCACGGATGCGTCTGGCCAATTGGATGTCCTTTGGCATGATGGTAACACGCTTGGCGTGGATGGCGCACAAGTTGGTATCTTCGAAAAGACCGACAAGGTAAGCCTCAGCAGCCTCTTGAAGAGCCATGACAGCGGAAGATTGGAAACGGAGATCTGTCTTGAAATCCTGAGCGATTTCTCTTACCAAACGCTGGAATGGCAATTTGCGGATGAGAAGCTCAGTGGATTTTTGGTAACGACGGATTTCACGAAGAGCGACAGTTCCTGGGCGGTATCTGTGAGGCTTCTTGACTCCTCCAGTAGCTGGAGCCGATTTACGGGCAGCCTTGGTGGCCAATTGCTTACGAGGAGCCTTTCCTCCGGTAGATTTACGTGCTGTCTGCTTAGTACGAGCCATTGCTTGATTTATAGTCGTTCTAGAATTTTGTCAGTATAAGTGGAACATTGCGCGCAAGCTCCGCCTTTTTATTATAACTGTTAATATCAGCATTGTAACACCCGCTCACTACTGTTCAACAATTCTATCGAATGAGAAAAATGGAATGGGCGATGTTGCTAGTCTATTGAAACATATGAAACTGTAAAAGATATGAAACTGTAAAACATTTGAATTGTGGCCCTAATGAGGGCCGTTGGGTGAGATGGGAAGCACATCATCTATTCCTTTTCTCCGGCGGTCTTCTTGGGGAGAAGGATAGACTG